CTACGGTTTGACGGACGATTATATGTTCCGAATATCGAAGAGATGCGAGTGAAGATTTTGAAATCTAGACATGACTCGGTATTGGCCGGTCATCCTGGAGTTACGAAGACGTTAGAATTAGTGCTTAGAGATTACATTTGGAATGGAGTTAGGAAGGATGTTGAAGACTACGTTGGAGGTTGTGTGGTTTGTCAGAGAGCTAAAACAAACAGACAGAAACCTCAAGGAACGCTGAAGACACTGGAAGTAGCGGAGAAGCCCTGGTCTAGTATTTCGATGGACTTCGTTGAAGAACTTCCTGAGTCAGATGGTTTCAACTCGATTTTGGTTATAGTTGACCGGTTGACGAAGTGGGCGATGTTCCTACCAACGACGACGAATCTCACAGCTGGGGGGTTAGCTGATTTGGTAATTGAACATGTGGTGGCTCAGCATGGACTACCAGAAGGGATAGTTTCGGATAGAGGAGCGAAGTTTACATCGAAGTTCTGGAAAGATCTCACTGCTAGTCTTGGTATAAGACTAAATCTCTCCACTGCGTATCATCCACAGACTGATGGCCAGACTGAACGAACAAATCAAGCTTTGGAAATGTATCTACGAGTATTCGCCTCTTACCAGCAGGATGATTGGGCGAAGTTATTGCCAAAGGCTAGCTTTGCGTATAATAACACGATTCACTCGGCTATTGGGATGAGCCCGTTCTTCGCGAACTTCGGGTACCACCCACGATGGACAGACGAGATTAAGGAATCTGAAGTAGAAGTTCCTGTTGCTCGAGCAGTTGTTACTGACCTACAGGAGATACACAAGCGATGTGTTGAAGGCATTAAACTAGCCAATCAGAGATACTCCGAAGCGTATGACCGAAAGCGCTCAGCAACACCGCTTTTTGAAATTGGAAGCAAAGTAATGTTATCTCTTGAGAATATTAGAACTAAGAGACCCAGTAAGAAGTTGGATGCTAAACAAGCAGGCCCGTACGAAGTTATTGAACGCATTGGGACTCATGCGTGCAGGTTGAAGTTACCAGCCTCAATGGCCAGGCTTCATAATGTGTTTCATGTGTCGTTGTTAAGGAAGTTCCAACCAACGAACTTCGTGGGGCAGGAGGCAGAACTTCCTGATCCAGTCGAAGTTGATGACTCAGGAGAGTTGTGGGAAGTCAAGAATGTTCTAGATTCTAGGATAAATAGGAGATCTGGAAAGGTTGAGTACTTAGTAGAGTGGTTGGGATTTGAGGGAACTGATGATGCTGTCTCTTGGGAACCGAAGGAAAATGTTGATGGTGCAGATGAAATTCTCACAGAGTTCCACGAACGATATTCTGAGAAACCGAAGGAAAATTTAGTTCGTCGAGCTCGTGCCCGACGAACTTAGGGACTGTGCAAGACTGATACATGGGACAAGAAGTTTTACAATCGCTAAGTTTTATTTCTCTCTTCATCTACAAGAATGTCAATATCGTCTATCACCATTCTCCCTTTTCCTTTCTCACGACTCCATCTTCTACTATCATCCCACCATGAGTGGGCTCCCTCAGTATCAGTAAGCTCTTCACGGGCTACCACTAACAACGGATCGTTTCTTATCACGTTTCTCATCCGCCAGTTAGCATCCCAGAACGTCTCACTAGCCGCACGAACCTCGTCCCTCAGTCCTTGAGTGCTGGGCCCAGCAACCGCGACACCAGTCAGATCACGCTCCTTTCGCCCGATGGTATCATTGATCTCTCCCCAGAACTTATGGCCGAAGATAGCGTGGCGACCAGTACGAAGGAGATGTTCGTTCCATTCGAGCAGCAAACTATGAGTAGCAGATCCAATATGAGAACTTTTCTTTGATAAGTTCCGGGTTAAAAGACGAATTTGATTAAGGAAACGACGAATGATGACCCCTTGTACGTCCATCATGTCTGCTGCACGAAGAGCTACCATGGTCATAGCTGCTAACCGTTTCTCCGTCTTCAAATTGTCCAGGGTGAGAACCTCGACTAGCTTCTTGAGGTCCGCGATAATTTCCTCCTGGGTAGGAGGAGGGGCCGACGACGAAGAGGACGAAGACGACGAAGATGGCGCGGGTGACGGACGAGGAGGGGAGGGAGGAGCAGGAACAACGAAAGCCCCAGGAACGATCGGCGACGGGAGCGAAGTCGACGACGGGAGGAGCACGAGGAGGACGAGGACCACGAGGAGGGGGGGAAAGGAGACAGCTCCCACAGGGGGAGCACC